ATGGGAAGCCTGGTGGGGGAACGGGGGGGAATGGCTGGGGGAATAAGGGGAAGAGTGAAAAGACGAAAGGTAAGGGTGGGGAGAATAAGGTTAATGGTGGGGAGAATAAAGGGAATGGTGGGGAGAATAAAGGGAATGGTGGGGAGAATAAGGGGAATGGTGGGGAGCATAAGGGGATTGGTGGGGAGAAGAAGGGGAATGGTGGGAAGAAGAATGGGAATGGTGGGGAGAATAAGGGGAATGATGGGGAGAAGAAGGGGAATGGTGGGGAGAAGAAGGGGAATGGTGGGGAGAAGAAAGGGAATGGTGAAGGGAAGAAGGAAAACAGTGGGGGAAACGGAGTTAATGGTCGGAACAACAAAGGCAGCAGTAGTAGCATCCAGGGAAATGTGGGGAAGAATCAGGGCAAGGGTGGGAAAAAAACGGAGAATGGTCAGGGAAGCAAAGGGAATGGTGGGAGGAAGAAGGGAAACAGTGGGGGGGATAGCAAAATTAGTGCAGGCAATAGTAAAGCAGGGCGGGAAGGGGGAGGGACAGGAAGGCCGGCAGGCAGTGAGACGAAGAAAGAGGGGGGAAATGGAAAGAGCAGTGGTGATAAGGCGAAGGAGCAAAGAAAGGCGGTAGCAGCGGTGCCAAAATGGGGTGCACGAGGGGGCGGAGGAGTGAAGGGCGTTAGGTTGAGGAAAGATGGAGGACAGAAAGGAATCAAGGAAGGTGAGAGAAGGCAATGGAAAAAACGGGAGTCTGGATCTGGGGGCCAAGGAAAGCAAGGCAAGGGGCAAGGGAAGCAAGGCGAGGGGAAGAGGCAGAATGTTGGGGAAAATGTGGTGGAGGGGGTGATTAAACAGGGTGGTGATGACGGTGGCCAGATGACAAGTGGAGGGGAGAGCAACAGTCTGATGAAACAGGGTGGTGACACCAGCAGTCAGACCTCTAATAGTGGAGGAGCGGACACCAACAGTGATTCTCAGCCTGATACTCTTGAAGGAGGGGAGTTGCGAATGAGCGATTTCGGTGATGATGATAGCATTCTGCAGAGTGACAGTATCGAGAGTGACAACAGCAGCAGCAGTAGCAGCAGAAGCAGCAGTGGCAGCAGCAGCATTCCAAAAAACAGCAGCAGCAGCAATGGTTTCACTACAAGCAGTTCCGGTAACAACAGCATCCAGAGGAGCAGCACCTGGAGCCATAGTAATTTCAGCATCATTCCCACTAGCATCGCCAGTGGTGGCAGCAGGGACAGCCGAAAGGAGGGGAAGAAAGTGGAGGGCAGGTGGAGGAGGAGGGGGAGGATGGGCAAGTGGCTATGGCGGCAGCGGCACCTGCTGAGCCTTCCAGAAAGCGCAGAGAGTGTCCCGGGGGAAGACGGTGAAAGTGCTTTTTTTCATCCGCCCTCGCCTCTGACTCTGACTCCCATGCATGTTGAGCGTCAAATGGATGTTGATGATAGCGAGGGCCTCTATAAGGGAGATGGTGAAGGTGGCTCTTACCGTTTGCAGGCGCCCCGAAGTCTGACACCTGTTAACTCGAGTGCGAGTGCAGGCAACAATTCGATGCTTGATGGCACGGACGGTTCGGATGAAGCGGGGCCCCTTGGTAGCACGGACGGACCAGATCCAGCGGAGGGGGGGTTAGGTAAGGCAGTGGGTGGATCAGTAGTGGAGGGCGGTGACGCGAGGATAGAAGATGGGATGGAGCAGCAGCAGGGCGGTAGTTTCATTGCAGATGAATCTGACATAGTCCCAGAGGAGATATCTGAAGCAGGCTCTTCATTCAGTCGAAAAAACTTTTCCGAAGAGGGTAAGGTGTTGGAAAATGATGAAGTGAGAGAGCAGGAAGAGAGCTCAGAGACGCCCCAAAACACATTGGGAGTGGACGAAGTGCCTGTGCAGGAGGAGCATGGTCTTAACAATGTCACACATGCAGCACATGAGGAGGCTAGCAAGGAGGATGGGAGTAAGGAGACTGCTAATAAGGAGGATTATTCTCCAGAATCGGCTGATAATGTGCTTCCACCTAACCTGCTTGACTCAGTTGACTTTCTTGACCCGGTATCAGCATTCACCAAGACCCATGGGAAGGTTCTGAGTAACGAGGCTGTTAATAAGGAGGATGGGTCACCTGAGAAGCCTAGTGTGCTTCCGCTGGATGATCTGCTTGACTCGGTTGGCTTTCTTGACCCAGTAGCAGCTTTCACCAAGACCCTTCGCATGCTGCACCACTTCCTCTCCTCCCAACCCACCGCTGAATCCCTCCCGACTTTCTTCCTCGGGCTGCCTCGAGAACATTATTTCCGGGCAGACCAGGACAACAGCAGCTCGCTCTGCTTGGCCGACGACAACATGTGTCGAAAGAGGGGCCGGTGTAGCGGGTTTTCGAGGCCAAGGGAATGGTTGGAAGAGGGAGGGGAGGAGCAGGCGCATCAGCAGCGGTGGCAGAGGTGGCGGTGGCGGCAGGAGAGGGAGAAGAGGGAGAAAGGGAAGGAGTGGATGCAGTCGAGTGTTGGGCAGATGGAAAGAGTGGTTGAGAGGGAGATTGGGATGGGGAACAGGGTAGTGCTGCTGCAGGCAGGAGGGGTGACTGATGCTCGTGTTGATGCTCATGTTGGGTCTTCCTTAACTGCCGAAATGCGTGCGGGGGAGACAGGGAGGGAGGATTGCAGTCATTTTTGCGTGCCTGGAGTCCCGGATACATGGAATGAGATGCTGGTCGCTGCGCTAAGGCTACAGGAAATGATGACGTAACAAAGACCTTCAGACAGTAGACGTGGCAATATGGGACGTTTCATGCATTGTGCCGAATATGTCCATATAGTGAAGCGATAATTTTATCAGTTCAATGTACGTATAAGACCTTTGTATTACTTTGCTATAACTAATTTATCTTGCTCTCACACAATAGTGTAAGGTGATTCAACAAGTTCACAAAGAACGCTTTCGCAATTACGTCATTCCTACTCAGAGTCTTAGCCTTGAATCGATCCTTAGGGCTTTTCTCAGCCCAACACACATCACATCACATCACATCACATCACATCACATCACATCACATCACATCACATCACATCACATCACATCGCATCACATCACATCACATCACAGCACATACAGCACAGCACAGCAAAGCACAGCACAGCACACCACAGCACACCACAGCACACCACAGCACACCACAGCACACCACAGCACACCACAGCACAGCACAGCACAGCACACCACACCACACCACACCACACCACACCACACCACACCACACCACACCACACCACATCACATCACATCACATCACATCACATCACATCACGTCACATTACATTCTTCCACCTCCTCCACCTCCACATTTGCCCCACCCCCTGCTGCTGCCACACCCTGTGTGGCTCTTGCATCAGCCACACCCTGCATTGTCTCACACCCAGCACTGCCTCACACCCGGCACTGAGCGGGTGCCTTGCTGCTGGCATGCGAGATGATGCTGGCCTCATCTGCCACCACCCCCGCGGCATCGCTGTTCCGCCTCCACCTCCACACCGCCTGGCCCTTGCTGGCGCCCCCTCCCACCGACAGCACCCCAAACCCATACGCTGCCTGCCGGAAGGCCGACCATGCAGGCTTGGGGGAGAGGAAACTGCGCGGCGAGGGAGAGGGGGGGGAGAGGGGGGAAGGAGGAGGGTTTTCAACCCCAGGAAAAGGGCGGAGAGGGGGAGGAGAACGAGGGGGGGGTGGGGGAGAAGGGGGGGAGGAGGGAGGAGATCGGAGTGGGAAAGAAAGGTGGACAAGGGAAAAAAAGTGAGACGATTTGAGAAAAAAAGACAAGGAGGGGACGAGCTGATTTGAAAAACGGTTTCTGAAAGAAGTGCAAGGGAGAACGAAGCAGAATATAAGACAAGGGAAATTCAAAGAAGAGGAAAGACTAGTCAAGGAGGAGGGCTGTGCCAGAGAGAGGAGGAGAAGGAAAATAGAAGCGAGGAGAAGAGGTGACCAGAAAGGGTCTTTTGACCAAGAGGAGAAGGTGGTGGGTGAAGTTGCATATGATTGACACGGAGTGAAGGAGGATGCAGGATGGAGGAGGGGTGAAGGAGGTTGAAGCGGAAACAAGTAGCCTGTGGGGACTTGGTTAGCGAAGAGCAAAATACAGTGCGGCGGTGCCTTATGCCACGACAGTCAGGATTATAGGGAAGGTTTGGAACAAGTCGCTTTGCATATACACATTCACACATGTATGCGCGCGTGCGTGTGAGTGTGTGCGTGCCTCTGCGTGTGTGCGTGTGTGTGCGTATGCGCGCATGTGTGTGCGTGTGCGCGCATGTGTGCGTGTGAGTATGTTTGCATCTGCACCTGCACCTTAAAACGAGTTACCTTGTATAAAGGTCGGCCCCACCAGAGCCGACAGTGAGATGCACCATGCCACAGGGGTCCTGGGCGTTGTTGTAGAGAGGCAGCTGGGGGGATGAGAGTGAGCGATACATGCACAATGGAAACACAACATGATGGGTTGCCCATTTTGAGATACACCATGCCAAGCGCATTTTGAGAAAGAGTGGGGAAGAGGATGCGAGCGGACAAGGGGAGGGGAGTGGCGACAAGAGGGAGGAGAGGGTGAGGAAATGCAGAAGATGGGGGAAGAGAAAATCAGGAGGCATGGATCTGAATATATGGAGGGGGAAAAGTGAGACCGGGTGGCATACCATGCATCCAAGAGCATGGCATGGGCCAGGGGTTACTCTGTGCAATCACCATGCATGCACCATGCACGATCCCACGTGCACCATCCTTCATGTGACGCTCACTGTCCTCACAGACAAGTGCGCATGATCGCTCACGACATAAAAGGGAGTTTCTGAGACGTCTTAATAACTGCACCATCCGTCCTGTGACGCTCGCTGTCCCCACAGACAAGCGCACATGATCCCTCACGGCACACAGCATCTGCTCCAGTGGACCATCTTTTGACCAAGCCACGTGCACCACACCCCCAAAGGCAACTCACCACTCCACATCACATCAGCCTAGTGGCACAAGAGCATCAAATCTCATCATACCCCACACATGCCCAAGAGCATGCCGCCTTGCAAAGCCCACCCGTGAGCCTCGCACACTCTCCATGCACTCCGCATGCACGTGCGTGCGTCGTCCAGCCATGCCAACCCCACCCCCACCTCCCCCCACACCAGCCCCCCCTCCCCCCAACCTCCCCCCTTCCCCTTTTCTCCAAACCACCATTTGCTCTTGAGCTATCCAACTCACCGTGCGCTCATAAGCATGCACGTGGCCGCACACCACCACATCAGTGTGCGCGTCATACCGCAGCCTCTCACGCGCCCGGACTTCCCAACCACCACACACCACACAGCCTCACACACACCACCCCAATCTTCCACTCACCGTGCGCTCGTAAGCGTGCATGGTGTGCAAGTATCCCACCATGCCCCATGCACCACCCTGCTCTCCCACCACTCACCGTGCGCTCATACGCGTGCACGTGCCCGCACACCACCGCATCAGTGCGCGCATCATACAACAGCTTCTCCAGCACCTGGTCTTCCCACCCACCACATACCACACAGCCTCACACACACCACCCCAATCTTCCACTCACCGTGCGCTCGTACGCGTGCACGCGCCCGCACACCACCACATCAGTGTGGGCATCAAACAGTAGCTTCTCGAGCGCCCGGTCTTCCCAACACATGCCACACAGCCTCACACACCCCACCCTGATCTCCCACTGACCGTGCGCTCATAGGCATGCACATGGCCACACACCACCACATGGGTGCGCGCATCATACAGCAGCTCCTCCTGCACCCACTATTCCCACCATGTCACACGACCCTGCTCATACAGCATATGATTTCACTCACCGTGCGCTCGTAAGCATGCACGTGCCCACACACCACCACGTCAGTGTGCGCGTCATACAGCAGCTTCTCCAGCGCCAGACGCATGTCCTCGCCGCACACACCACACATGCCACCCTGCTCATACAGCATCTGCGTAAACTCACCGTGCGCTCATAGGCGTGCACGTGGCCGCACACCACCACATCAGTGCGCGCATCATACAGCAGCTTCTCCAACGCCAGTCGCCTTCTGAGATGCCTCGATAATCAACTCCCTGTGCATTCACTCATACGCTCTAGGACTCACCGTGCGCTCATAAGCATGCACGTGGCCGCACACCACCACGTCAGTGCGCGCGTCATACAGCAGCTTCTCCAACGCCAGGCGCATGTCCTCGCCGCACTCACCACCCCACTCATACAGCACCTTCTCGAGTGCCAGGCGCCTTATGAGGCACTTCAAACGTCAACTCACCGTGCGCTCATAGGCGTGCACGTGCCCGCACACCACCACGTCAGTGTGCGCGTCATACAGCAGCTTCTCCAGCGCCAGGCGCATGTCCTCCCACCACATACCACCCCACTCATACCACCCTGCTCATATAGCATTCCCGTCAACTCACCGTGCGCTCATAGGCATGTACATGCCCACAGACAACCACATCAGTGTGCGCATCATACAGCAGCTTCTCCAGCGCCAGGCGCATATCCTCGCCGCTGAGGTGGTGGTCCTTGTTGCTGTGGTACCACGGCTCGTGAAACGCCGCCATCAACCACGGTGTTACCTTGCGATCCACTTTCGCTAGATCCGCCTGCAGGTTCAAAGGGGGGAGGGGGGTTGGGGTGGGAGTGAGAGGAGGTGTTGGAGGGAGAGGGAGCCGCTCTTCTGGTGGTCCTTGTTGCTGTGATACCACGGCTCGTGAAACGCTGCCATCAGTCACGGCGTTACCTTGCAATCCACCTTGGCTAGATCTGCCTGCAAGAAGGGTTTGTGGAGGAGGGGAGGAAAGGGAGGTTGGGGAGAAGCAGGGAGAGAACAAAATAAAAGGGGGGAGGAGGGGGGGAGGGGGGAGGGGGAGAGAGGAGCAAGGGACAGCACAGTCATGAGCCCCAGCGGCATACAGCTTCTGCTCCGCGCCAGGCGCATGTCTGGTGGTCCTTGTTGCTGTGATACCACGGCTCGTGAAATGCCGCTATCAGCCATGGTGTTACCTTGCGATCCACCTTGGCTAGATCTGCCTGTTAATTAAGGGGGGGAAATAGGGGAGGAGAGGGGGGAAGAGGGGTGGGGGTTGGGGAGAAAGAGGGGGGGGGAGGGGAGCACGGGACAGCACAGTCATGAGAAGCACGATAGCTCCACCCATTGGAGGCTCCCACAAGTGGAACGATTAAGACTAGACCTGTGGGAGCCTTTACATCCTCTTGCCTTGCTGCTCCCCAGCCCAGCGTAAATATTCGTTTATATAACAAGAAGTCCCGCTGGCAGCAGCAAGGCACCGAGGCAATAGCAAAGAGGGAGGGACTGGTATGCTGGCAGCACAGCACAGCACAGCACAGCACAGCACAGCACAGCACAGCACAGCACAGCACAGCACACGTGCAGCACAGCACAGCACACGTGCAGGCTGCAGCACAGCACAGCACAGCACACGTGCAGCACAGCACACTCACTAGCAACATACCTGCAGCCAGTTGTACTGAGCGGATCCCTGGTAGTAATCCGAGTAGCACGACAGCACCACCCAGTGAATGCTGCCGCTGTCAAACGAGTAGAAGAGGTTCGACGACGACCCGCTGGCAGCAGCAGGCATGGGCCAACGCGCGTTGTACGCCTTAAAGGGGTTGGAGCTCGGCGCGCCCTCGTCTGCCTCGTCCTCGTGGTTCCCCGGGCCTGTCATCCAGGGTCGGAGCGATGCTGCAGGTTGGATGAGGGACTGCCACGTGTCCCACTGTGGTTGGTAGCCGTTGGCATAGGAGAGGTCCCCTGGGAAGACCACGAGGGAGTGGGGCGTGCGGGAGAGGCGAGCGATGGTGTCGGCTGCTGCTGGCGTTGAGTCCATGTCCGCTGGTGGTGGTGGGTGGGGGTGATGGGGTAAGGGAGGGTAGAAGGGGAGTGTTTGTGTGTGTGGAGGGAAGACAATGAAGGCATGTGGGAGAGGCGCGAGATGGTGGCGGCTGCTGCTGCTGTCGAGTCCATATCCGCTGGTGGGGGGGGAGGGTGGGGTGTAAGGAATGGAGGGAAGAGGGTGGTTGGGAAGGGAAGGGGAAGACCATGAGGGCGTGGGGCGTGCGGGAGAGGCGAGAGATGGTGTCGGCTGCTGCTGGCGTTGAGTCCATGCCCGCTGGTGGTGGGGGGAGGGGGAGGTGGGGGTGGGGTTTGGTTGGAAAGGGGGAAGAGGGAGGAGAGGGAGGTGGGGTTGGGGGAAGGAGGGAGGGTTGGAGGGAGAGAAGTTCTTGTGTGTTGATGGAGAAAGGGTGGGGCGGCATGGTGGCAGCGAGCGATGGTGGCGGAAGCTGCTTTGAGACATCTCATAATCTACTTTTAAGACGTCTCAAAATCTAATCTACATTTGAGACATCTCAAAACCTACATTTGAGACATCTCAAAATCTACATTTGAGACATCTCAAAAGCTCTTGCGTGTGTTGAGAGAGACAGCGTGGGGCAGCACGAGAGGCTGCCGCTGCTGTTGTGTTCAAGGAGGCCAGCATGCGTGGGTGGGATGGAAAGGAAGGGAGGCAGTAGGGGCCAGCGGGTAGGCGGGGGAGAAGAGGGGGAAGGGGTAGACGGGGAATAAGGGGGAGATGGGGAAAAAGGGCGAGAAGCCCTCAGGCGTATCTCGTGCCAGCCACCCCGCTTACCCACATCCCCTGTCCCCAAGCAACAACACCAGCCAAAGACAAAGCAGCGCAACCCACCCTGTCCCAAGCCATAGCCAAAGCCACAACACACCCGGCACGGCCAAGCACAAGAAGCGCGACGCTGATGAGCAGGGAAGCATGACCCACCGACGAGAGCCACGCTGATGGGTTGGGACGATGCCGGCGGCGTCTTGAAGGCCCTCTCGGGCCACAGCACACCCAACACAGTCACACACACACACACACACACACACACACACACACACACACACACACACACACACACACACACACACACACATGACACACACACACACACACACACACACACACACACACACACACACACACACACACACATGACCCACCCACGAGCGCCACGCTGATGGGTTGGGACGATGCCGGTGGCGTCTTGAAGGCCCTCTCAGGCCCCGCGCCTCCCAGGCGGTAGAAGTAGGTGGTGCCGGGCTTTAAGAGGCCGTCCTTCATGGGCCGCCCCAGCATCACCTTGTGAATGTACCCCGACCTGCAAATAGGGAGAAGTAAGTGGTTCTGGGCGGTAGAAGTAGGTGGTGGCGGGCATTAAGACACCCTCCTTCCTGGGCCGCCCCAGCATCACCTTGTGAATTTACCCTGATCTGTTTGTGGGTGGTACGGCAGGGCAAGGAGGGAGGGAGGGATGACGTGACTTTTGAGTCGACTCAGGAGTCACCTTGCTTTGACAAGCCCTCTTTAAAGCGCCGGCACAGCAGCACCTTGTGAATAGGGCCACACCAGTACCTGGAGCCCCACCAGTACCTGGAGCCCCACCTGTACCTGGAGCCCCACCTGTACCTGGAGCCCCACCTGTACCTGGAGCCCCACCTGGGAATAGGGCGGCAGGGCAGTGCTGACGTGGTGGGAGGGATGACGTGGTGGCAGGGTGGGGATGACGTGGCGATGGGGCATGGATAATGTGGCAACAGAGCAGATGACGTGGCACGAGAAATATGTATGACGTGGTACCAGAGCGTTTATGACGTGGAAACAGGCATGGAAGATGGATGATGTGGCAGGGCAGCAGGAAAAGGACGCAGCGTTGGGCATTGGATGGGGCATGCAGCGAAAGGAGGGACGAGAGAGGAGGCAAAAAGGTGAAGAGCGGGGAACAAATCACTCGTACGTGTATCCATTAAGCGTGTAACGAGAAACACTCCCGGAAGCCGTTTTGGTGTACTGGCCGCGGCTCTCCCCATACTCCACTGTTGCGGGCGTGTTGCCAGCTGTCACCCACCACACCAGCGCCCGCCCACCGCCCGCCAGTGACACGTGCACCTGCATGCGCAGAGGAGAGGGGGAGAGGGAGCAAGGGAGAGGAGAGGCAAGGGCATGGCGCAAAGGCTTGGGGCCGAGGCTGGTGTGTTGGCAGCCGTCACCCACCACACCAGCACCCGCCCTCCCCCCGCCAGTGATACGTGCACCTGCATGCGCGGGGGAGGGGGGGAGCGGAGGGGAGTTTTGAGTCGACTCAAAAGCCGATGTGCTGCCAGCTGTCACGCGCCAGCACTCGCGCGCCACCTCCCAGCGATACATGCACCTGCATGCGCGGGGGGGGGGGGGGGGGAAGGGCGGGGAGCAGATGGGCATTTTTTGTCGACTCAAAAGAAGCCGCGGCTCCCCCATATTTCCACTCCACGGTGACTGGCGTGCTGCCCGCCGTCACCCACCCACCATACTCGGCCGTGCACCTGCTCGCGGGGGAGAGGGGGAGGGGGAGAGGGGGAGAGGGGGAGAGGGGGAAAGTGGGGGGGGGGGAAGGGGGAAGAGGAAGCGGAGTCGAGACACGGGCATCGCGCAAAGGCAAGGGGCAGGGGCTCGTGTGTTGCCAATTGTCACCCACCACACCAGCACCCGCCCACCCCCCGCCAGTGATACGTGCACCTGCATGCGGGGGGGGCGGAGGGGAGCGGAGGGTATGGCGGAAAGGCCTCATGGGGCATGGCGGAAGGAACGGGGCATGGTGCAAAGGCATGGGGCATGGCGCAAAGGCACGGGGTATGGCGCAAAGGCATGGGGCAGTGGCGCAGGGAAGCGGAGGACGAAGCGCTTTGACTGCCCGCGCAGGGGAGGGCTTGCCTCGATTGGCTGCCTCGTTGGCTGGGCACGGGGCGAGGGGGCAGGAGCACAGGTCAAAGGGGCGCAAGAGGCGCAAGAAACGGCAGCGGACAATGGCACGCGTAGGCAAAGAAGCGGCGGCGAGGGGCACGGGAAAAGCGGCAAGGGGGCAAGAGGAAAGGACCAGCGGCAAAGAGCAAAGGAGCAAGGGGCACGCGGCGCAAGGGGCAAGGGAAAATGAGCAAGGGTGCAAGCGGCAAGGGGCAAGGTAGTACCTCCAAATAACCTACAAAAACTCGAGCGGCGCAAGTAAAGGGGCAAGGGGGGCGCAACTTGCGGCGACACGCCCGGGGGCAAGGGGGAACTGTCGCACCTGTTGAGGCTGCGACTGCGCTATCTGCCGCCGCAGCACCCGCCCGCGCAACCAGGCGGCGCGATTTCCCCCCTGCGCAGAGCCAGCAGATGCCGCGCGGGGGCAGGCGGCGACGACGAGCAGCGCGAGCAGTGCAAGCGCGCGGAAACTCCGCGCATCGGCGCAATGCGATCGGCGGAGGAAATGCGCGGAACCAACGCTGGCGGGGCGTCTACTATCCATTGCGGGACTGATGAAGGACACCGCTGGGTTCGATATTCCAAAAAACGAAAACAAAGATCCTAACTGCTTCAAACAACGTAGTAACAAGCGTGGTGGGTGGATAAGTTTCCCTTATACCGAAACGGGTCGACGTCACTGTAACGCCAACCGGAGTTCAAGGCGCCTGGAAGCAGGGTATGGAGCAGCATTGTACGGAAGGAAGTGCACTAACTGGTGTGGTATTAACCGCCTAAGATTGCATTCCCGCTGGGCGCTCGCAGGCATCGCATGCAATGCTGTCAGCCGTGGAAATAGATTTGATCGCACGATATAACCACATTCGATACAACGTTCGCTGCCAGGTCAGTAACACGCGTAAACGTCGAACCGCTTGGGGGGATTCTTTCTACAGACCAGACTGGACAAACTCCAAAAAAACGGCCAAACAGCGCCCACATGCCATCCCACTCGCGCCACGTGCATATGCTCACACGCCACCAACCTCGATATAAACTCAACGGCGACGGTGATATTCGGCGGGTGTAACGGTGTACATGCGACTTCGGTTGGAAATGGTTCGGAGGGGTGCACATTACACAGAGGCATATACACAACGGGTACAATAATTCTTCTCAGACTCAATGTTGTTGAACATGTAAAGTTGAAACAATGTTATATGTTATGTAATGGGCTTGAAGCAGGAGCACCTTCCAGCTACTAACAGTGCATTTAATTATTGAAACTGAAAAGGCCAGTGTTACAATCTGAAGTGAGATTTGAGCGAAAGGATCGTTCAGGGTTGATCGCAGGTAGTGTCGCAGCGGAAGTAGTGAACTCAGGTCAGAGTGAATGTAAATGACTGAGATTGATAATAGCATGCATACATAGGGTTTATATAGAAATACAGAGGAATGCGAAACGACATAGACTAGCCATGTACTCTAAGGGGTACATTCCCTTATTCCAGCGAAATTCAAACCGTGCGGCGCGGGAATCAGTTTCAAACCTGTTCCCGCTCTTTTCACTTCAAATGTTTCTGCCTGCATCGGTCTTGGTCAGACGGTTGCTGTGTCGCTTCGACTCTTCTGACTCCTCGACTTCGTACTTGGTAGAGTCGGCTCCTGCAGCATACAGGAATGCCTTCTCATGAAACTTCATATCGTAATACTCCCCTTCATTCCTAGATGCGAAGGGTGCTGACTCGCTTGACCACTCCGGTGTCAGAATCTAGCAGCAGGAAAATGAATGAACTAACAGGATGCAGGAGTACAAGTAGTAAACCCTAATTGGGTTGTACCCCATATGGGCTACCCCACTACAGCCTAGACAATATGCAGCACATATAGTTTGACACACCCCCATAGGCAAAGTGGGGGAGAACAAGGGGTCACACGACCAGTCAAGAGAAGCAAAACAAGCTCAGGGTGGATCACAACGTCACCACGCATTCCGAGCACAAGCAAAGGGCCACAGGGCCAGTTCACATGCAGAGATATATATGCAGCAATAACAGTACAGTGATGGCTACCTAGCAAGAGCCAGCATGCATATATATATAGATCACAGTACAAGCAGAGACTACAGCAAGTGTGGAAACGTAGGCACAAGGCCCAACAGGGTACAAAAGCGCTGATGATCACCAGACGGAAGTGCCTTGGTGAATATATCAGCAGTGTTGGCCCGAGTGGCCACGTGGCGAAGACGAAGCTGGCCTCGCTGCTGCAACTCTCGAGCCAGGAAGTAATGCAGAGCAATGTGCTTCGTTCTGTGCTCCAGTCTGTGCTCCTCACACAAGGCAATGGCGGCCTTGTTGTCGACGTACAGCACTGGAGGAGAACGAGGCTGCTCTCCCAAGTCAGTCAGCAGGTAGGTGAGCCAGCGTAACTCCTGTGCAGCCATGGCTGTGGCGTAGATCTCAGCCTCACAACTGGAGCTGAGAACTGAAGACGAGCATGTAGAACGCCACGAAACTGAACCAGAGCCAAGGCTGAAGGTGTAACCCTGTGACGACCGCTGAGTAGCCTGGTCGTCAACCCAAGAAGCGTCTGAGTGCCCAGTGAGGACAACTGGGCTCGTCCCTCCAAGCACTAGCCCCATGCCTGATGTACTGCACAAGTAGCGTAGTACCCTCTTAGCAGCAGCCATGTGCTCAGGTCGGTGCCGACCAGGAGCCACGTAGCGAGCTAGAAGACCAAGAGGGTACGCGAGGTCAGGTCGAGTGCAAGTCATCAGGTACATGAGGCAGCCGACTAGCTCTGGGTAAGGACCACTCGGCTCTACGGACTCGTCCGAAGGTGGAGCTGAGAGCGTGTGACCTGTAGCCAGAGGAGTGGCCTGTGCTGAAGACCAGGTGAAGCCGAAGCGCTGAAGGACCTGCTGCACCATGTATGACTGAGTCAAGGTGATGGTGCGGCGTGCTCTGTCCCGAGTGATCTGCAAGCCAAGGTAGCTGCGCAGCTCACCCAAGTCTGTGCACGTGTGTCTCTTCTGCAGCTCCGACTTCACGTGGGCGAGAGCCTCAGTGTCAGTAGTGGCAAAAACCAAGTCGTCGACGTATACGAGGATGTAGAACGGCGGCAGTGAAGTGTCGGTGCGCAGAAACAGCGACGGGTCAGCAGTAGAAGGCGCGAACCCAAGAGCCGCAAGCGTAGTCCTCAGTGTGTCGTGCCACTCACGTGGCGCCTGGCGGAGACCGTAGACCAGCCGCCGGAGGCTCCACTGGGTACCAGGAGGGAACGACCCAGTGAAGCCCGGGGGGCGGCGCAGCCAGATCTCCTCGTGCAGGCTGCCCTGCAAGAAAGCTGTGCTGAAGTCAAGAGAGTGAAGCTCGTAGTCACGGTGAGCAGCAACGTGCAGCAGTACCCGAAGAGTGGTCATCTTCGGGGTGGGGGAGAAGGTCTGGAAGAAGTCAACTCCCTCTCGCTGACTGAAGCCTCGAGCAACATAACGAGCCTTGAAGACAGGCGGAGAACCTGGCGGCCGCTTCACCCTGAAAATCCACATGCCACTGACGATGTTCGCCCCAGGAGGGGGAACCTCGTCGACGTAAGTGCCAGTGGACTTCCAGGATGCCATCTCTGCGTCCATGGCTGTCTGCCACTGAGAGGAGTACTCACCCGCGATCGCCTCAGCGTAAGAGCGCGGGGTCGGGATGTCTGGTGCATCCGGGTCTCCCTTAGGGGCAAGCAGCATGGCAACGAGATGAGGCGCAGCGGCTGCAAGACACTCAAGGTCCTCGTGCCTGTCCTCAAGGACGTCCGTGCTAAGAGCACACTCACCCCCGACGGACGGAGGACAGACAGACTCAGACTCAGTAACAAGACTGGCAGCGTAGTCTAGATGACAGGCAGCAGCAAAGTCAACAAGCTCAGCGACAAGAGCAGACGCAGCAGCAGACTCAAACGACGGGTCAGTGACAACAGTGGCTAGTAGACGCGTGACAGTAGGGTGCTCAGCACGAAACCGGTCAGACGCAGGGTCCGGAACGTCAGGCAAAGAGGACGCAGGGGGAGACGGCAGAGGAACAGGCTGCGGAGCAGAGGAAGGACGACGGACTACGAGGTGTGCGCTGGGGACAGCCGGCTGACGCGGACGAGGAACACGACGACCGGTACGACCAGGACGAACAGGCGAAACAGGACGCGACGCAGGCTCACGACGCTCAGCAGGACTACCAGTCTGCACAGTGTAAGGAGAAGGAGCAGGCAGCGGTGAGCCAGGCTGTAACGGAAGACCAGTAGACGATGGGAGAGTAAGAACCTGACGAAGAACAGAGTCAGACGGCGGCAGAGACGACGGAGACGGCGGAGCGAAGAACCGTCGTGTCGGCGCAGCTGCACCAGGACCGGCAGCTCCAGCAGCTCCAGTGCCTCCAGCAGCTCCAGTACCTCCAGCAGCTCCAGTACCTCCAGCAGCTCCAGAAGCTCCAGTCCCAGAGCCGACACCTCCAGTCCCAGGGTCTCCAACCTCTGTGTCTCCAGCAGCAGCACCCCCAGAACCAGCACCTCCAGTCCCAGGGTCTCCAGCCTCAGTGTCTCCAGTACGAGCACCTCCAGAACCAGCGACTCCAGCACCTCCAGTAGACAAAGGACCAGCACCACTCCTAGCTCCAGCAGCGCGACGCTGACGGCGACCGTACCAGTCCTGCAGCTGCTGTGGGGTGAGAGGCACACGTGGACGAAGGCGGCTACTCCAAGGAGACCGCGCAACAGCAGACTCAGAACCCTCAGCGCCCGCACCCCCAACGGCTCCAGAACCTCCGGTGTCAGTACCCTCAGCACCAGTACCTCCAGCGGCTCCAGAACCTCCAGCGCGAGCACCCTCAGCAGCTCCAGAACCTCCAGCTCCAGCGCCACCAGTACTAGGCCCTCCAGCAGCTCCCGAACCTCCAGCGCCAGCACCCTCAGTAGCTCCAGAACCTCCAGCGTCAGTACCGCCAAGCCCAGCACCCCCAGACCCCTCACATTCAGGTTAGCTCAGCACCACCAAGCTCCACACCCTCAAGCTCCGCACCCGCAGGCTCAGCACCCCCAGGCTCCGCACCCCCAGGCTCAGCACCCCCAGAAGTAGCACCCCGAGCAGGACCACCCTCAGTAGGACCTGAGTCACCAGTGACCTCAACCGGCGCAGTCAAGGGAGGAGGGTCTATTTGAGAAACACCTGAAGGAGCAGGACCTGGAGCGGGGAGGGGGTCTACCTGGGGAGCACCTGGAGCGAGGAAGAGCGGCGGGGGGGGGAGCGGGGCAGTGCGGTAGGGGAAGAGACGGTAAAAGGGAACCGACTCGTCGAACGTGACGTCCTGAGACGCAAAGACACGGCGCGAGGTGGGGTGGTAAAACTGCCAACCAGGCGCGTCAAGGACAAAGCCAAGGAAGACACAGGGAACAGCGCGGGCGGAGAGCTTGTCCGCGGTGGTATCGTGGACAAAGGCATGAGCACCCCAGACCCGGAAACGCGACGCATCGCCAACCTTCCCCGTCCACAGCAGTGTGGGCGAGGTCTCCGGCAAGGAGACACGGGGC